TTCTTAATTTTAAACATTTCAGTGCACTGTACATTTATGATAATAGCTAAAGTTAGTACTGTGGTAGATTAAATGGAAAATAAAGTATAAACTTTTACCTTAAAAAAGCTTTTGATATTCATTTAAGAGGTTTAGAAATTATGCAAATGAAATGTGAAAACTGTAAGATAAAAAATAGTATTTTTATACTTAACATGAAAATCACCTTGCAACTGAACTATTCAGAGTGCGATTGCGAATAACTACATTAAATAACAAATTTTGAGTAGAAATAGTACCAAACTACAAAATAAAATATTTTACTTTTAATGAAACTAGATATTTTTAGAAAAATTCTTGTCAAACAATTTCATCCACTAGTTTCATTTTCCGAAAGAAATTTCACGAGAGATTCAAAACCTACTTACATTGGATATAGATGTTTTAATAGGGTTAGCTGTCAACACTGGTTTGGTTGAATTGACTGACCTTGTAACCACTTTGTACTCATTATAGTTTCCATACTATAACTTTTAATACAGTATGTGAATCTTCACAAAATTTGGTAGACTTTTAGTAAACATTACATGTTTGTACACAAAAAATCTATTTTCTTTAATTTAGTATTTTTACTAAAGATTGTTTCGTGAATATATCAAATCTTTTTTTTTTTTTAACTAGTCTGAGTGCAAAGTGAATTTTAAATTAAGATTAAAAGTACTTTTCTTTGTCTCAAAAATCACAAATTTCATTTGTGTAACCTTCAAAACCTCCTAAATAAATATAAAACTTTTTCAGTAAAGATTTTATTTTATTTGTTATTACCTCTACCCTAACAATATATTTGATTTTTCAGCCAGTAGACAAATCATCAAAGTATAATGAAAAATTATAAAATCGGAAATATAATGAGCAGCTGTGCTAAAGTAACAAATTACCACTTGTGTCATTAGACTGTTTATGTGACACCATAATACGATACTTTTGAAAGCAACAAAGCACGCGTGAAGAAATAAGCTGACTTGACCCTTGCTCCAAGAACATGATGTGGAATTTATCAGCTTAAGTATCCTATAGTGTTTACCAGAAGAATTCCCCAGAGTAATAAGATTGCACTTTGAATCTGTGAAAACATTTATAATATGGTTCAGAGCCGATCCAATAAACATTGCAGGTATTTAAGTATTACTCATCCTTCTGGGAAGTTTGAAATTTAGTGGTATACCATATAGGCAAAGATATTATTTGTTGCATGTTTATAAATACCTATTTCCCATTCAGCAAACTTATTCATTAACTAATATATACTATTTATTCACAAATGCTTAAATTTTAGTTTTTTATTAAAACATAGAAAAATAAATAAAAAATACCTCAAAAAACAAAGATTTCAAGTACTTACAGTGTTATGATATTTTGTGCTTGTGCATCGTACATGCTAAGCCTCGGATAATTCTTCTGAGTGGGGGTAAAGATGTATTAATTTTTGTAGGCTTCAAGTATACATTTTAGAAAACAAAATAATTATCAACTTACTATATTTGTGCACACAAAATCCCTTGTAATTTATCTGGGTTTCTAAACAAGCTGTATATGACTTTTAAAAAATCTCATATTTGTTCAAAACAACAACTTAGTCATCATACTTCAACAGTTTCAGCAAAATTATGACTTTGTCCTTCAAGCTATTTACATATGATTGTAAGATTTATGTACACAAAAAACTGCTTTTTCTCTTGATAGTAAATCCTTAGTCAAAAAAGTAGGTGAAACTATACAAGAGTTTCAAAAGAATGGAGTAGTGAAAGGAGCCACTATTAGATTGATTAGCTAAATGTATTGATATCTTAGCAATTCAAAGAAGTGGGAGGTTCTTATTTTATATTATAGCATATCTGTATCTCAAATTCGAGTTTCTAATTTGTTAACTACTGTACACGTTTTATAGTAGGTGTAATAAATTATAAAATGAGCAGTAAGACAATAGGAGGTGCTAGGTGACAAACAAAAATTGATATTTTGCATTTTTTTCTTTATGTTTTATTTTAAATTAAGAAATTAAAACATACATAATATTAAAATTTTAATTATAAACTGCATTTTGATGTCAATTTCATTCACGTAATAGTAAGGTTATTTAATAAAATTTTGAAAATAACTCGTTAGAAGGTCACAACATGCGCTCTTTAACCTGCCTGAAGCAAAAGGGTTAAAGGATAAGTTTTTACTTTTTTATTTCTTCCCTTTACAGTGGCCCTTTCTCCTTTCTTAGATCCCACTCTGTGGTGAATGGTGCCTGTCCAGGTGTACTTAAATGTAAATCTATGCAATACAGTTGTAAAGGTCTATAATGCTCACTGCAGAGATGGAGTGTTCCACCAGACTTCTGGAGGTTGCCTTGTGGTATTTTGCTTCATAAATAAGGCTTGCAACAGACCGTATCAACTCATGGACTATCCTGAGTAAAGTAGTGTCAGGATTGCTGCCTATCTCTCCGACCCTAGTTGAATAAACCAGGACTGTCTGCTTTTCAAAATAGGGTTTTCTTGGTCACCTATTGCACTGTCTTATGGTGCTGTGTTCCTCTGGACTCCCTACCATGTTGATACCCTCCCTATCCCAGTTGAGTACTGGAATCCTTGCCACTTACCAGTTCCTATCCACAGGGTGGTGGACTATAGAGGCTTCCTCCTGAGTGTGACCTATTCAACTCAGTTGAAAGTAAGGTGGTGGTGTTCTGTTAGTGTAGATGGTGAGTATTCTCCTCCAGAAGACAAATATCCAATGCTGCCTGGTTTGGCACTCCACCTGCAGTTCACCCCTCTGGCTGGCTTTCACCCATCCTATAACTGCCTGAATGTCAATTCCTGGGTGGTCTGGTGTTGAATTGGTGTAGGACCAGCCAACATACGTCCTGACACATGTGGTTGATAGGGGCCCTCCTTTTACTACAGAATGGATGAAAAGTTACTGCTGCCAGGTTTTGAACTAGAGTTGACCCACATTTGTATTCCCCCTTCCTAGTGTTACTTGGGTATTGGATTCCCGAGTGGCCTGGTGTTGGTTGTGTACTGGGTCTGCATACATGCCCTGGCTGGGACCCTCCTCCTACTGCAGAACAGAAGACAAATGCTGGACTGAAGTTGATCCACTGAATGTGAGCGGACACACCCTAGCACCTCTACACCATCTGGCATGTTCAAGTACAGTTTGGACCTGCATCTTTTCCACCCAATATAGCAACACGTATCTTGACAATGGGTAAAGAATATACCTGGTACAGATGGGGTGTGGGCTATCTTGAGTGTGACCCTACATAAGGGTATCACACTATACGAGTTCTCTTCAGATGCTCTCTGAAGAGTGCTCAACTCAGTAACTTTTGCACTGCTCCCTTCACTGTTTTAATGTGGGATTCTAGCTATTATGTGATTGGAGGTTAATATTTTCCTAAACTGAACATTTATTTCTAATATATATTTACCTCCTCTCACAATTTCCACCTGCCCTTCCAATTCTGGTGTGATTTGGTTTGGCTAGTTATGACCAATCATGAAGTGATTAACATGGGCATGCTTATAGAGGGTGCTAGTTATGATAGGGGTAGTGTTGCACTCCTGTTGGTGGAGGGTCGCTGCATGATCATATGCATTTTAGTATTCACTAATAAGTGGGAGTAGCAAGGTTAGTGGTGAGCAAACATTTGCACTGGTAGAGGGCAATACAAGTCGAGAAAGCTTTTTGTGAGAGGAAATAAGCATCTTTCAGAAATATATTTTCATTTTAGGAAAATGTTAACTTCCATAGGAGGCAAAATTTAAAGTTTGTTGATTACATGTTGTTTGGGAAAGAGTGCATTGTTTATTCTATACCGCAGTTATTTTAAGCTTATGGTGAATTTTGTGAAGAAATTACTTTCAACATAAAAGTAGTCATCAGACTTTTGGTATCCTTCTGTTATGTCTTATTTTGTGTTCTGTTTAGTTTTTTTTTCTAATTCCTCCATGCTAATGATGTAATGTTGTCTGTTATCTTTTAACTTACAGTATTTTCATTTCTTAGTCTCTTTAAGTTATGATAGTTTCATGTAATTCTGGGAGAAATTATTAAATTACAAATTGTTTTTTATATTTTAGAAGATTGTTTATTGTTTAACATGGTTTCATAGAAGTCATTCAGCATAGTACATTTTTTGTCTTGGTATGTTTCATGAAATATTTTTTTAAGGAAATCCTGGTTTTCCTAAAATTCATAATGAACACCAAAAAATATATGGAAAATCAAAATTTTGATTTTTTAATAGTAATATATGTATAAATATATATATTTTTTGAAATAGAAAGATATTTTACAGTTAACATAAGTCTTATTAAAATGTTATTTATTTTACATAACATCCCAAATTTCAAGTCTAAATTAAGTTAATATTTTACAAAAGAAAACTTTGTGGGGAAAACAAACAAAAATAGTTTTGTGATTTGACTCTTCAAGGAAAGTGCTGAAAAATTCGATGTTTTTATGTGGTATGATACACATATACCTTCTAAAGATTAAGTTACAACAAATACAATATAACATAAAAATTGATCATTATAATATTCTGTAGCTTTGACCTGTGGTTTTATAGGAAATTTTAATGTTTTTATGTGGTATGATACACATATACCTTCTAAAGATTAAGTTACAACAGACACAATATAACATAAAAATTGATCATTATAATATTCTGTAGCTTTGACCTGTGGTTTTATAGGACATTTTAATGTTTTTATGTGGCATGATACACATATACCTTCTAAAGATTAAGTTACAACAAGACACAATATAACAAAAATTGATCATTATAATATTCTGTAGCTTTGACCTGTGGTTTTATAGGAAATTTTAAAATGATTTTATTGCTAGGTGTCTTACGGAATTTGTGGACACTTATCCATTTAACTTTTTTAACAGTCTGCTTCTTATTTGGAAAAACTGTATTTTAGATAAAAGTTTTTCAGTTATTGTTATTTAAAATCTAGACATCCATCAAATCAGTGTTGTGGAAAATGCTGCTGTTGGTCTTGAAGATGGAGGAGAGAACAGTCTTGACAAAGTTACTGAAGATTCTAAAGATTCGTGGTTTCGAGAATATGAGGATGTGAATGAATTCCCTGATCTTGGTGATCCTGAAGATCCAGAAACTGATTTTGATGATTTTGAAGAAACTTACACTCGTAAAAAGAAAAGAAAAGTTCGGGTTAGCTTTTACACTTTATACTACATATATGTGTAAACATAACTGTCAGGATTCTGATGTTACTTGTGTAACTTAGCTGGTTTAGGATAAAGATATGCATTTGGTTTAGTTGCATTTTCAGAAAGCTTTTGGTAAGTGCCACTACACCAATTAGACTAGCACATAAATTTGTTAAATACATGGACGGATTATCATGTGGGATGAAGCAGAAAGTTGTTATTAATGGATTTCAGTCTAACTGGACTAATGTTATAAGTGGAATACAGGGACTGCTACTGTTCTTCATTTAAGTTAATGACACTGATAGAGGCATTGTCAGGAAATTAAGTGTATTGCTAATATAAGAATCACATTTCTGGTTGGTTCTAGTGAATATATTATGGTTTTACAGAGAATTGGTTTTGTTAGTTGGACCAGCTTGTGGCACATGGTATTTAATTATAAGTGTAAGGTTATGTACATGGGATGTTAGTTATCATAACGTGATTTAGATAGGAATCCTCTTAATTATGTGGGTTATCAGTTGAAACAACTCTTAATCCTTTGAGACAGTGTTCTGTTGCAAGTGATAAAGTTAACAGAATTTTGGCTTGTATATTTATAGGAGTATTGACTATAAGTCTAAAGAGTCCATAGTTTTGTTGCATAAGCTAATAGTTAGATTTCTTTTAGGGGATTGCATCCAGTTTTAATCTTTTTTTTTTTGGAAGGACATTGAATTGTTAGAGAAGCGTCAGAGGACAGTTACTTATTCCTGCAATGAATCGGTTGTCATACAAGAATAGGTTGAAACATCTTAACTGGTTCTCTCTTGAAAAGAGAGAGGTGGGTTGATATAACTATTGAAAATTATTAATGGAATTGACCAGATTAATGCATCAGAATTTTCCTGTTAAAATCTGAGGCCAGTAAGACCATAGGCCATAAATTTAAGACTTGAAAAGGTTAAGCACATCTCCAGTTGAGAGTTTTATTTCTATACTAGGGTGGAAAATCTATGGAACAGAGTGCCATCTAGAGTAGTAGAGATTGCAACTTAACAGGAGTTTAAACAAAGGATTATGTTGGAAATTAAGGATTGGGAGTTTGGATATTCTTGCTGGGCCAAAAGGTCTCTTAATGTCTCATAATTTATAACCTTTTTAATTTTGAACAGGCTATAGTATATCTGATGGGTATGTTCCTTATGTGCTGTATAAATTCAAGCATGTATGAACATACTCTAAGACCAAAATGAAAGAGTTTGATTTTAATGATTCTTACTTCTAAAAGATAGATTTAATTGGTTACTGTAAGTTTTTTAATGTCTATTTAGAAGGCCCTAGATTCATGTCAGCTATAGAGAATTTCTATGGTGTACTTTTTTTGTTGGTATTATCTTCAGTTATATACACGTATAGATAAGAGCCATAAATGAACTTTCTACTCGTAACATACAGCTATTGACTTGATTATTAAATTGCTTATTTTCTTAGGTTTTTTTCTTTCATCTTGAATCTTCCTTTTTAATTGTTTCATGAGTGGATTGTGCTTAAATATGCTTCTATTGCTGTAGAAACAAATAAAAGCTGTTGTATGATTAAAAACAAAACAGCAGGGTTATTCTATACCAACAGAAGTGTTAGTTTTGACTAGTTTGACACACTTTTATTTATAATATCTGATTTTGAAACTCACTAAATTTTTATTACATAACTATTGTGAACACACATGACTAAGTGTATAGAGGCAATAAGAAAGAGTTAAAGACAAAATGGACAGTATTATTTTACCCTAATATTTAATTAATGCTGAAAAGTTTCAGGATTATTCATCTGAGTATTCTTACTAAAAGTAAAATGTGAAATGCCAGATAAGTGTATTAAAGTCACAAGTTTTAACTTTAGATGAGCAGTGCACTTTTTGATCTAATTATTTTTGTGCCTTCCATAAATGTAGCAAAGCACTCGAGGTAGAAAGAGAGGAGAAAGAATAGAATATACAGATGCTGAGAAGCCGTACAGTTGTGAGAGTAAGTTTTATTGATGAATCAATAGTGTAAAAATGTTCTTGATAAAAGTGACAATTGTGACGGAAATAAAAGATTTTCAATTGTTATTATTGATGAAAAAAATATATTTTTGTTACTTTTGTAAAAACTCAATCTTTTCAGGGTTATGAAAGTTACCATAAATTTGTTAAAGTAAACAAATGATTAAAAATCTTATTAACTTTTAATTTAATTTGATATGTTTCTAATACATAAAAATATTATTGATAGTTCTTACAGAAAGTTTATGCTTTTCTGGGCTAAAAATGATTAAACAGCTGAAAGTTAACTTTTCTTTTTTATTTGGTCCAAAAATAGTCAATTTTTACAGGTAACTTAAAGCAAATGCCATTAGTTATGCTTTTCTATCATTAGGTGACAGAAGCATATAATTATTATAATTTTTTTCTAAATGTGAGGTAACCTAGGCCAATAAGCTTTTTCTCATTTGCTTTTTCTACACCACTTGCAAAAATTAAAGGATAATGAGGTTTTGATTTTTTTTTAATTTGAAGGAAAAGACACAGAGACATTCAATGTTGACAAAACTTGTTTATTACAAATACCACAGGTAAACAATACCAAGCAAATCAACAAATTCATATACAAATATCAACGGAAAAATAATTTATTAAGATAAATAAATTTAACAAAATGAGTCTTTAGTAGCTGGTAGGTCCTCTTCTGTTGTTTATGATTTCTCTGCACCTGTTCCCCATACTGATGATGATATTTTTGATAACTTGCTGGGGCAGCACACTCCACTCCTGGATGAGGGCAGCTCTGAGATCCTGGACAGTTGTTGGAGCAGATTGATTGTCTCTAACTGCTCTCCCTAGTAAGTCCCACACATGATCAATTGAATTAAGGTCTAGTGATGTAGCAGGCCAGTCCAGTATCTCTATTACTTCATCCTGAAAAAATTGCTTCCTGATCCTGGTGGTGTGAGGATGGGCATTATCCTGCTGATACACGAACTTATCTCTGACAGCACTAACAAAAGGGTGAACAGTGGGTTGCAAGATCTCATCCACATAACATCTTGCTGTCAGGGATCCTCAATCCATTACATAGAATTCTGTATGCCCCTGCAGGCTGATGCCTTCCCAGAACATGATTGAATATTGCTCTCTTTCACGTCTATAGACCTTATACATTGATAACTTGAAGATACACAGAACCTGCATTCATCTGTGAATAGTACAGAGGTCCATTGCTGAATGATCCAGGTGACATGCTCCTGGGCAAACTCCAACTGGCTGCTTGGTTCTTTGGGGTTAGTACAGAAGCTCTTACTGATATCCTGGACCTGAGCCCAGTCTAATGGAGTTTGTTCCTGACTGTTGAGCACAATACACACATTCCATTGGCTTGCTGAAGTTTGTTTCTGAGGTTCTAGTGCTAATGGGGCAGTTTTTAAGGGCTAAATTCCATAGATATTAGTCGTCTACTGTACCTGCAGTCCTTTTGCAACCCTGGCCTGGCCTCCTGGTTTATTCTCCTGTGATCTGTTATCTGCATCACAATCTACTGACCATAGATTGTGACACCCCCATGCCTGTGCCTCCTCAGTCTAGGTGAAGCCCTCCTGAAGCAGAATGATGGCTCTGTAAGATTCAGTTTCATTTAATTGGTTTCTAACAGTTTGCACACTCTTTGCAAAAGTCAATACCAGCAAAAAAAATCCATAAATCTAGAATTCTTCTCTAATTAATCAAAATTAGCCTTTTGCTTTCCAGAACTTGGGTCATTTCTCATAAAGGCCTATTACATAAAGAATCATTGTTGTATAAACTTGCAAGTGCTAGGTAAGATTAGTGTAATCTTCTACAATAAGCATGCTAAATTTGAAAAAAATTATAAATTAAAAATATACAAATTTAAACAAATCTCATTATTCCTTCATTTTTGTGAGTAGTGAATGTTATTCTAATAGTATAGAGATTAAAATATTTAAGTTCAGTATAAGATTAGAATACCTAACTTTGAACTTAGGATTTTGAAGGAGAGTTACCCATGATATAAAAAGCTAGAAACATAACACAAGGGCTGTGTTCAAAAGTTTGTTTTGTAGCCAGATATTCGAAGGTGCACAATTTGATCTTTAGATTTGCATAATTCGTATTACTTAAACAACAATTGTATTAAAATCTACTACTGAATCATTTTATATAAAACATCTTTATTATGTTTAATATATATGTTTAACTAAAGAACAGTGTTATGTTAAAAAAAATGGGAAAATGACTGATAATCTCCTTTGAACAGTGACTGTCAAATAAAACTGTTTTTCCTAATTACGCTGCAATTCTTTTAATTATCTACAAAGGTGGTCCTGCCATGTAAGCTTTCTATATATGTTTGAGTATTGCAAGCAGAGTTGATTACATGTACATAAACAACATGTTTTTATTTGTATTTAAATTATGAAACCATGATTACTCTTGTATGTAACATGTTTTGAAACTACATGTGAATTTTTTATTCAAATCAAATTTATTACTTGTTAGATAAATTGGTTTTCAATTAAAGATAAACTTGTAGCTATGATGATGGTTGCCATTATATTATACAAGTTAGTAATATTGAAGGTTTTAATATATTTTCAATAATGTGTTCCAATCCCTCAAAGGTCAGAATGCACCCTTTATTATGACTGTACGTAACACACTAGTTAGAATTCTGTGGTTACTGTTTTTAGTCTTCAGAATCTAAAGACTGAGTTCTTTTTTAATTGTCTGATCCTTTTTTTTATCAAACTTTCTACTATTTTTCTACTTCTTTTCTGAGTGTGAGTGGATAATGAAATGCAAGTTCTTTGTTCAGAGTAATGATACTGTAAGTTCTAAGTTGAATCTACTTAATAATGAGTTATGAATTTAAGTGGGTGATGATGCACTGAGTTTTGAGTCCTTGGTAAAAAGTCTGGTATGTTATATGCTATCCGAAGTCTTCCCCATTTGGCCTTGAACCAACTATTTAACTCTTTTTTTTTTTCAGCACAGGCTCAGTCCTTGGGACCGACTTCATAACCATTTTGTGCTTGTTATTCTTTTCTTGCTATAACTTTTAAATTAGTAAGTGAATGTTAATGAAATTTGGCAGATTATCAGTAAACAT